TCCACAATGGAGAATATTGTGACACAACATAGCAAGCTATTCGCAGAACCTGATGAGCGACTAACCTATACCACGAAAGTGGTTGCAAAGATAGATACAACAACGGATTCTCCTCCATACACGCGGAATTATCCGTACCCTTGGGCATTGAGAGAAGTTGTAGACAAGGAAATAAAAAAAACTATTGAAGGATGGGATAATAAGACCATCCCGTTCACCCTACAATGCACCAATATGGGTAGTCCCAAAAAAACAATACTCTTCAAGGGAAAAAAAGTATAGGGTAGTAGTAGATTTCAGGAAAATGAACTCGGTTACCGTTCCAGACAGGTATCCTATACCAGAGATTAGTGAGGTATTAGCCAACCTAGGTGGAAACAAAATATTTTCTGTTGTAGATCTGAAGAGTGGGTTCCACCAGATACCCCTTAGGGAGGAAGATATGGAAAAAACTGCATTTTCTATTAGCAACGGTAAATTTGAATTTACTAGACTGCCATTTGGGTTGAAAAATGGCCCATCAATATTTCAGAGAGCCTTAGATGATATTCTGAGGGATTTCATTGAGAAGACTTGCTATGTCTATATCGATGACATAATAATCTTTAGCAAAGATACAGAAAGTCATCTTAAACATCTAGTGGAAATATTTTCTACATTGGAAGATGCAAATATGAAGGCTCAGCTTGATAAATGCGATTTTTTTAAGGAAGAAGTAGAATTTCTAGGGTTTGTTGTTTCAGGAGGAGGGGTGAAAATGAATCCAAAGAAAGTAGAGGCAATAACGAACTTTCCATATCCAACCAATTTACGAGAGTTGCGTTCACTCCTTGGCCTATTTAATTTTTATAGGAGATTCATAAAAGGATTTGCCGAAATTGCCAAACCCCTTACTAACATGCTAAGAGGAGATAATGGAAAGGTAAAAAAATCTGAGTCTAAAACAATAAAAATTTTCCTGAGCAATACAGAAAAGGAAGCAATTGATTCCTTGAAAAATGCAATAATATCACCGGAAATTATTTTATCTTATCCCAATTTTAAAAAGGATTTCCACTTGACGACAGACGCATCCAATAGAGCTATTAGAAAAATCAGTGAACGAATATAATCATTCAATTCATTCGACCATTGATAGGAAACCAGTAGATATTTTCTTGGGAGGACAGTAGACTTCTCCCCGGGAAGCTACGATAGAACTAGGCAGACAAACATGGAAAAGATCAAGGAAAAGCAACAAAAGGACATGAAATATCACAATAAAAAGAGAAAGGATTTCAAAGCATACATTCCAGGACAAACAATATTCGTAAAAATTAACAAACGTTTAGGTACAAAACTTACTGAAAAATACAAAGAAGAAATTATAAAAGAGGATAGAAATTCAACCGTTGTTACTGAAAATGGAAGAATTGTCCACAAAAAATTCATAAGAAATTAATCAGACAAAATATTTGGCAGGTTTCTACTGGTTGTAAGCCAATGCATGGAAGAATTTCGTGTCAAAGAAATCTATTGACTTCTTAGGAAGTGCATGGAAATGGTTGGCTGGATCACCAGACCATCATGACTTCCAGATAATTCAAGAAAAAGTAAACAACGTATTGGCAAATAATAATAACCAAGCCATAATTAATCAGTTGTCCATAGAGAGATTGAATTTAATTGCTAATGCCACTAACAAAATTTTAAAGGACTTAAACAATAGCATGGAAACCTCTATAGAAAAGATAACGGAATTGAAGTACAGATTGGAAATCGTAAAAGAAGAAATTTTTAATGTAGAATTCGCCATTGAATGGGCGAAGGCCGGTGTAATCAATTCTTTTATATTTTCTAAGGTGGAAATTGATTTACTACAAAAGATATTTAACAAATCGGAAATACCTTTCAATAGCGTTGACGAATTACTAAAATTCGCAAAAATAAAAGTAGCATCTGATTCAGAAAGTTTAATTTATATTGTAAGCATCCCAACAACTAATAATGAGAATTGTAATTGTAACATCCTTAAACCTGTAAAATTTGCAAATTCCATTTATAAAATAAAATTTAATAAAATATTAATTTGTAAGAATAATCTATTAGGCATTAAGAATAAATGCGACAGTTATGAGAACCTGAGTATCTGCAGCGAGGAAAATACAGAGACTACAGCGCTGTTACAAATAACGATGATATTCCATCCGTAGAGCAGATCAATGAAGACTTAATATTTCTGAACCAATATTCAGGAGAAATTTTGATAAATGAGTCCCCTTTAACTTTAAACGGAACATTCATTATTCACCATGCGGAGACAAATGTTACCATTGATGGACGATCCTATTATGCAAAGAAAAAAACTGGAAAAAAAGCATTACCGGCTCTGGTACAACCTAAGGAAACTGACGAACAAATAGAAACCCTATCCCTTGAATTCATGAAATCTATTTCTATAAATAATACCAAAATAATAGAAACAATGCAAAAAAGAGAACGAATTAATTTTGGAATAGGCACTGCGATTTTTCTAACACTAACCATCATAATTGCCGTGATCCTTAGAAACAAGCGTTACCACAAAAATCCTGAGAGTAGTCCAAAAATAACTACGTCCGAAAAAGAAGACAAATTAGAGGAGATCACCACATCAGATACACCATGTCCATCGGCTGCCAAGAGGGTCAAAAGCCTAAATAATATTCCGTTTTTTTTAACAAGGTGATGACAATATGTTCATACGAGGACGTATGAATTTAAAGGGGGAGGACTTAAGGAGCATATCGGGCGTTCCTGGATATGATGCAGCAGCAGAAGCAAATGATGAGATGTTCCTGTTCAAACAACTCAGCAAAAATAGAAATGAAGAAAGGGAAGAAGAGGAAAGGCAAGTCATCGAAGCTAAGAGAGATGACCTATCTAAGAGAGGGACATAATGCTGTTAATCTAAAGCAGATTCCCTGCTTACAAGTAAATATATATAAATATAAATATTGTGAAATTGTTCCCGCCGGAAGTCCTCATTTTAAGGAACGGAAAGAAGAAGTAGAAAATTCCGCCCTGACCAATGAAAACCCTGAAAAACGTAATAATATTGGAGAGAAGTAAAAAGGCACTTAGCACAGAAGGTCCCACAATTTCCAACGAATATGGGAAAGAATTAATCGAAGAAGTGGGAAAAGACAACCAAAGTTCTCTGCAATCAACGGAGACGGTTTCGATGAAGCTTTTAACAATTGTTGTTATCCATTATTGGCGATAATCATTCAACAAGCGCCTGAAAAGAGGCTTCATACTTTTCGTCCGCAGAGTCAGAGTCACTATTAGGTTCTTCAAGTGTCGCCAGATAATCTAAACACTTATCATAAACATGTTTTACTTTACAATTCTCTCACTTTAGCACTTCAAATTTCGAGATTGTAAAGAGAGTGCTTGAATCGTTATCTTTAAATTATATAATTCATATAATTTAATATGATTGTTTTAAGTAATGTCTTTCTAAGCCTATTAGAGTAAATGTCAAAAGTCATGGATTAGTTTGTATTCAGAATAAGTTATTACTTTAAATATACATTAGTAATGACTTTTTGTTTCAAGCATGGAATGTGTTTGTTTAAAATCTAGTTTTTATATCCCCCACTATACATAGTATGGAGGGCATATTAAGTTCGTAATTCCGTTTGTAACTTATCGAAATAACAATTTTATACCTAACAAGATACATATATTCTTGATCAGCGTAAAATTCTATAACGATTTAGACCCGTCCGACAGTTCGCCCGCCGTCTGTTGTAATGACACTAGAATCAAAACGAATTAGAGTAGGAAGCTAAAAGGCAGGCAGGTCAAGTTCGTAGATGGTATATATGGTCCACTATATTGTATAACCCCATACAACGGTATTTGATATTTTGATGATTTAGCATCATTTTTAATGGAATTGTCTGAAATTTTACATAAGGAGTTCTTTGTCAGTTCTTTACCACCTTAAAAAGAATTGTCTAAATAGGTCTACGATATCGAATAGACCCCCGTAGGGAGAGATGACCTATCTAAGAGAGGGACATACTGCTGTTAATCTAAACAGATTCCCAGCTTAGAAGTAAATATTGTGAAATTGTTCCCGCCGGAAGTCCCCATTTTAAGGAACGGAAAGAAGAAGAAGAAGAAAATTCCGCCCTGACCAATGAAAACCCTGAAAAACATAATGATATTAGAGAGGCACTTAGCACAGAAGGTCCCATAATTTCCAACGAATATTGGAAAGAATTAATCGAAGAAATGAGAAAAGACAAAGTTCTCTGGTTCCGGTTCCAGAAGGGTATTGAAATCAATAGCAAATCATCAATGGCCGTGAAAACAGAAGACGACAAACCGGAGCTAGCCATGAGGCCAATGGCAATCATTTGCTACGTGGGTGATGACGGTCTGCAGCGATGGACTACAAATTCGGTAGCATGGACAATGAAGCCGGCAGATATAGGTGGTGGTATCGGCAAGAGAGACTGGGCAAAGCAGTGGAGTCGATTCCTGGAAGGGGGTTCCTAAATGAATATTACATTATTTCAATATTAAGTTACACATATATTACTCGTCATATATTTATATTTAAATGTGTCGTACTGTCCATTTTTCAATTTTATAAAGAAAAGTCCACTAAAAAATAAACATCGAAGCCGCCCGGGATAATGTACAAAATACTTTGTGCATATTTTTGAGTGCGGTTGAGGCGCTGGGAAAACCTGGCAACAAACAATAAATATTCTAAAATTACATATTTCCCAGCCGCCATAAAACATCAATTGTAAAGAATTCGGTGATCTTGAGCACTGACGGCTACGATAATGTGTGCGTGACCCACACGCACAGCAAGCGCCACCCAAGACGCACAATGACCACCAAAATGCACGGATGCCAATCCGTTGGATTATTGTGTCTGGAGTGTTTTGGAAAGCATATATATATAATATATATATATATATATATATATTTCTATAATATAAATACTATGTATTTACCTGCACAATTTTTGTCATTTCTTGGATGTCAATCACACCGTTTCCATCAACGTCATACATCCTGAACGCCCATTTTAGTTTTTCCTCCGGTGTTCCACTCGATGTTACATCAATAGCAAGAAGAAATTCCTGTAATATATGAATATTGAACATACAGAATAAAATACAAAATAAACAATAGAGTCTACATTTTTAAGAATATTTTATGTTAATAAAAGTAAATTTACGACCATGACCATTTTCGACAACCCAAACTTTTAATTCCCTCCACCATTTGGAAGGAACTCGAAAAAATTCGTCTAAAAATACCGCTCAAAGGAAAACCTTTTTATGGGGGCTATACGAAGACAAGGAGCTGCACACTCAATTTTTTGTCATAGGCTGTAGTGCAATTCCATTGAATAATGTCGCTAATATCATCAAAATACCGGAAAAAGAGAGGTGCCGTTATATGAGTTGTATACGAAGACATGAACCTGTATAGACAATTTTCTTTGATATCCATTACGTACATCAAATTCTAAGTTTCAAACAATTGTGGTGAGTAACGTCGCTTAAATAATCGAAAAACCAAATATCGGGTAGTATAGTTATATGGTAGGAATACGAAGACCACAATTTTCTGTCATAGGCTGTAGTACACAATACAAACTTTAAATACGAAATTTGAAACAATTCCGGTCTATAATATTTCTAATACCATAAAAAACCAAATATCTACGGCCGTTATATGGGGGCTATACGAAAACGTGGATCATTTACGAACTTAATCTGTCTACTGGCAAAATACACATGTGTGTAAAATTTTAGCCTTCCATCTCAATTCGTTCGAAAGATAGTATGATACAAACGGAATAACAAAGTTTATATGGTGGAGGGTATAAAAAACTGAAGTTAGAACGGTTGCATTAATTTATTTTCATTAACTTCGTATAAATAATTTGCTATTGCATGGGTTTTTAGAAACAACAAAAGATGAGATAATTCAAATGGAATTGGAGTATGTCGAGCGTGTGATACAGACACGCTTACTGTACTCCCTATTTATAATTGCCCTGTCAAACCTACCCGACTTACTCCACTTACATTTTTTCATTTGGTGTTAGAACCTGATTAGCTAAAAACAACACGCAAAATTTGTTGTTGTTATAACAATAACAAGAACAAATAATAATAAAATATCAAAACCAACAAACTCTTATAATGCAAATTCTCATCAATGTAATGGTAATAAGAACAACAAAAACTAAAAAAAATGCCTTCAATTAACATTATTATGTAAATAAATACCGAATCAAATGAAATAATTGAATATTTAACAAACAACAAAACAGCTAAGTTTGGCCGGGCTGAACTATTAATCAACCATTTTGAAGCAACTTAAACAATTTAAAAAAAAATTGCGTCGAAAAATACCGCTCAAAGGAAACCCGTTATTTGGGGGGCTATACGAAGTCGTGGTGCTGCATATACAATTTTTTGTCTTAGGCTGTAGTACCCAGTACGGACTGTACCGTTGTACTGGTACGGTTGTATGAATTGAAAAATTTGGCTAAAATCGTCAAAATACCGAATATCGGTAAGCACCGTGGTGTCGTTATGTTTGGACTTTATGAATTTTTTTGTCATATGCTGTAGTACCCATTACGAGCTTCAAATATGAGATTTGAAACATAGCCGGTGAATAATATATATAATAATATATATAATAATACAAAGAACTCCTTATGTAAAATTTCAGAAAATTCCATTAAAAATTATGCTAAATCATCAAAATATCAAATACCGTTGTATGGGGCTATACAATATAGTGGACCATATATACCATCTACGAACTTGACCTGCCTGCATTTTAGCTTCCTACTCTAATTCGTTTTGATTCTAGTGTCATTACAACAGACGGCGGGCGAACTGTCGGACGGGTCTAAATCGTTATAGAATTTTACGCTGATCAAGAATATATGTACCTTGTTAGGTATAAAATTGTTATTTCGATAAGTTACAAACGGAATTACGAACTTAATATGCCCTCCACACTATGTATAGTGGAGGGTATTAAAACTAGATTTTAAACAAACACATTCCATGCTTGAAACAAAAAGTCATTACTAATGTATATTTGAAGTAATAACTTATTCTGAATACAAACTAATCCATGACTTTTGACATTTACTCTAATAGGCTTAGAAAGACATTACTTAAAACAATCATATTAAATTATATGAATTATATAATTTAAAGATAACGATTCAAGAACTCTCTTTACAATCTTGGAATTTGAAGTGCTAAAGTGAGAGAATTGTAAAGTAAAACATGTTTATGATAAGTGTTTAGATTATCTGTCGACACTTAAAGAACCTAATAGTGACTCTGACTCTGTGGACGAAAAGTATGAAGCCTCTTTTCAGGCGCTTGTTGAATGATTATCGCCAATAATGGATAACAACATTTGTTAAAAGCTTCATCGAAACCGTCTCCGTTGATTGCACGGGTAAATTCGTCAATTTCGTTTACATCTTTTAGGGAAAACGTTTCTTTCCCTTGTATCAGATTTGCACACAAACTTGTTTTGCCATCTAATTCTATTCTATCATTTATATCATCACATTCCGCTTACTAACGCAGCAATTACGAATTGCCAAGTTGTCCATATGGTTAACGTTGTGCACCATGGAGTTTATTTTATCACTGAAACTTTGCTAAAGTAGTTAAGTCACTCAATCTTTTCAAACGTATCTGGTGGTAATGGTTCCACAGATGCAGACTTTGGATTTTGCTGAGGAACAATGCTCGAATTGAAGCTCCCATTACCGTCAGACATGTTTTGTAAGAGGAATTATCGTACAACTATGCGGAAAACGAATAAATGGGCTCTTTTTCACAACTATTCATGGCGAGAATTCGATTGTTTTCAATTTATCGCGAGCGTTAAGCATTGTACGAAAAAATCAAATAAGGCAAAATGAACTACTGCGAGAAAATAGCGTTTTAATCGTTCGCAATCGATTAAAAACACTATTTTATTCGCTGTGTGTGTTAACATATTTTGAACAGGTAGAACGTTTAATGATGCTGTTTAAAAACTTGATTTTTTGCTGCAGAATGAATAACGTCATTGCTTGTTAGATGGGTGTATAATTATTGCCTTTTTTCAAACGCCCAATTCCAATGAAATATACCAGGTAGCAAGAAAAAATAATATATGTTGGAACCTGTGTGAACACATCACATGTCTATGTACATCTTACTAAAAATATATTTTCATTTCAAGTACTACAAAACATATAGATAAATAAAAAGTGTAATTCTAAGTGAAAACTGGGTAAAAAAAAAATCAAATGACCTCAAGCCGAAAAAAAACTCATATAAAATATAAAAATATTTAAGGTACATTATGAGATTTTTAGTACCCTTTTCCATTATATTGTTATTCAACTTAGCAATTAATAAATTATTAATTGTGACACTGCTTAAACTTGTGATTTGTTTGGTTACAATTTTGGAAAATACATTTAATGCTCATTTTACGGACACTTGACTTGATGGAACTGCTAAAATTATGTCAGCCAGATTAAACGAATATTTTTTCTTAGTTTACAGAGTTTTCAACTTGTCAGATGTATCACTATATTAAAGATATTGACCGAGCCAGCTAGAACACCTTCTTGTCCAGCAATGCTATAGACTAAACATGATTGTTTGATTGAAAATGAGCGATCGCAATCAGTCGCAAACATTTGTTTTCATTGGTGATCGAATGCCAGAAATGATTTCAATAACCAACACAATGAACGATAGTTGTTGTGTGCTTTCGCTTGATTGTAATGTGTGTGTAAACATTCTTTTGGCGAACGATCGTTTGCTATCGCGTTAAAATATATAGCCTGCCCAATCGTCTAATTCGCTTGCTCTTTGTCTTACACACCATCCAGTAAATAATCCTGATAAATCGACTACAAAGCTTCGCGTAATCTTCTAAAAAATAATTTAAGCTTATTTGCTTGAAGATCTTCTAAATTTGCGACGGCGGTTTTTTAGATTCGAGTTCAATTGTGATATTACTCAAATGTACCGCCAAATTCGCGTCGCTTCCAAACTCCCGCCATTGCAAATAATTTTGTTTAGAATTTTTCCTTCCGTCCAAGATTTTGAGTTCCAAACTGTAACATTTGGAGTAAACTGCGCTCCCCAAGACGTCATTCGTACTTTTCACCAATTAACAGAAGAGACTAAATCTGTTTAACCACAAGCCGGGCACATTCTTCTCATTTGTGCAAAATAGCTCTACAGTTAACTTGATTCAAATTCCACGTTGGGTTCACTATTGCCCAGAGGAGGCGGCGGAGCTACATATATTTTTTTATGTCACGTTAAAGACATTCGCGGGTGTAGTCCATTAACGTCCAAAGTCTCCACTTGGTCAGGCCAATGTTTATCGCTTAATTTGAACGACTAAAGTCGCGCCTATAAAATCGGTAACCTTGCTATGTCTTCAGCTGTCCGGAGTAGCAGTAGCATCAGATTTTCTTAATTTAGTTGCGGATGTAATACACGGAAGTCGTGACGCTTCACCCCAGTACTTCGCCAATAATTCTCTTTTGGCAGAGAAGGCCCCTTTCATTTGAAAAGCTCTCTACTTACTCTAAACCCTATAGGGTATGTCAATGGCAAAGTCCTCAACAATGTGCTACACCATACGTTGCCCGATTATATTGTCATATTCCTGCCAATTTATCCGGTTACTTGCAGAATTTGTACACTAGATTTCTGTTCTGTTAATGATTCGTATACTTCGTGTTGATCATTGGGTTCACATATCTTCCTCGGAAGAGAACCGTAGGTCGTGTATCTACAGAAGATGATTTCGCAGGACCCTTTGACGAATGTGTATCTGTATATATATATTGTAATTGTTCTGACACTTAAAGAACCTAATAGTGACTCTGACTCTGTGGACGAAAAGTATGAAGCCTCTTTTCAGGCGCTTGTTGAATGATTATCGCCAATAATGGATAACAACATTTGTTAAAAGCTTCATCGAAACCGTCTCCGTTGATTGCACGGGTAAATTCGTCAATTTCGTTTACATCTTTTAGGGAAAACGTTTCTTTCCCTTGTATCAGATTTGC